TCCCCCCCCCGTCACCCCCCGTCACACCCCCCCCCGTCACCCCCCCCCCCCCGTCACTCCCCGTCACCCCCCCCCCCCGTCACCCCCCCCGTCACTCCCCCCCCCCGTCGCCCCCCCGTCACTCCCCCCCCCCCCCGTCACTCCGCGCCCCCCCGTCCCCCCCCCGCCCCCCGTCACCCCGCCCCCCGTCACCCCCCCGTCACCCCCCCGTCACCCCCCCCCGTCACTCCGCACCCCCCCGTCACCCCCCCCGTCACTCCGCACCCCCCCGTCCCCCCCCCCCGTCCCCCCCCGTCACTCCGCCCCCCCCCCCCCGTCACCCCCCCCGTACTCCCCCCCGTCACCCGCGCCCCCCCGTCACCCCCGTCCCCCCCGTCACTCCCCCCGTCACCCGCTCCCCCCGTCACTCCCGTCACTCCCCCCCCGTCACTCCGCCCCCACCCCCGTCACTCCCGCCCCCCGTCACTGCGCGCCCCCGTCACTCCGCGCGCCCCCCGTCACTCCGCGCGCCCCCCCCGTCACTCCGCCCCCCGGTCACTCCGCGCCCCCCCGTCGTCACCCCCCCCCGTCACTCCGCGACCCCCCGTACCTCCGCGCCCCCCCCTCCCCGATGCCGGGGCCCGTCACTGGGGGCAGGGAATCCTCCCCTGTTAACCCCGCAGCCAGAGCCCTAACGGGTGGGATGGTGGAGCTGATATGGAGCGAGAAAGCTCATCAGACAACGCTCTCTCTCCCTCTCTCTCTCTCTCGATGGCAAGTGATGTGGTTTTGTCAGGTTAGGCTCCAGCGGTCACCGCTAGAGCCCCCCCTGGGCTCCCCCAGGGCCCCCCCCCAGGGCCCCCCAGCCTTGGCACTAGCCAACCTGCGGCTGATACTTTCCGGGATGCGGTGTGTGGGCTATTCCAGCAATCCGGCGGATTTCCATGTGTCGGTGGATGTATGGAATTCTCAGCTTGGTTTGGAGACTCTAAGTGATGGGTTTCCGCTCGGTCAGACCTTCACTGAGCCACGGGCTGACTGCCTCCTGAGCTGTAATGTTGGAGGATTCCATCCCAAAACTTCACACAAACCGAGTCAGTCCAGTTTCTTTGTGACGATGCGGTGGTTCGGAGTGTGAGTGTGGTCGATGGTGTGGGGGGAGTTGATCTCTTGGGCTCAGTGCTACAACATGAAGATACAATCCCTGACCATCTGTAGTTTAGTCTTCACTGTGAAGACTTGAATGTCTTCACCAACTCTGTGAGGAGCAGGAGTTTAGGCTCCCAGATTTGATGGGTCTGGTTGATGTGTTACTGGTCTCGGCTGAGGTTACCAGGGAGGGGGGATTGGACAGGACTCCTCTCCTCATCACTATCCAGACCCCCCCCACACACACACATATACACACAGGTCAATTTCGTTGGTCATTAGCTTCATGGCTGTTTGTGGGACATTGCAGTGCACAAATTTGCTGCTGTGTTCGCCTTACAAAATGCAGTCACTACACTGTAAAGTAAAGGTCACGGCAGCCAATTGCACACAGCAGTGTCCCACAAAGTGACGTAGATCGAGTACCCAGTTTTTAGGGGGGGGTGGGGGAGATCATGGTCTAACTAATCATTTATACAAGTTGAGCATCATCTATTTGTTTATATTCTCTGCCCCTATTTCTAAACACTCAGATCTGATTAACTTTCTTCACACCCATCTTCATGCCTTTAATGGTGTATTATGCTAACGTTTGGTCTGTCTGCTCTGCTTTTACATGTTTACTATTTCACATATACGTTACATGCTCACTCTGTTCTTCCCTATAAATTAACTTTTTGCGTTAAAATTCATCCATCATCTTACTCCTTTCTATGTCTGTGACCTGCTCACGCTATATCAAGCTGTCCTCTCCCTCCGCTCAGCAGGTTCCGGACAGCTCCATGTGCTCGGCCCACCCCACCATCAGCGGTCGGGCCTTCAGCCTCTATGCCCCACTCTTTGCAACACTATCCCAACAGTCCCGCTCGCTCGCTCCCTCACCTCCTTCAAGGCACATCTCAAGACCCTCCTCTTCGACTGTGCCTTCAGCCTCCCTGCTACCCTCCACCCCTCCTGTTCCCAATCCCCAGCCCAGGTCCAAATCCCTGATGCCTTGGGAAGTCCTCCCAACATGAAAGGCGCTATGTATATATAATTTGTTGTTGCTGATCTACCGATCTGTCTGTGTCCTCCTGAAGTTCTCACAAGCTTGTTGCTTTTTTTTTAGCTAATTTCCTTATTTTTGAAACTTGTGCCCCTTTATTACCAGAATCAAAATCATTGATATAAATACAGGTCCTAACCTTGAGGGAACCACTGTTTACATCTCTCCAGTCTGAGGAACAAGTACATCTCCCACTCTCTGATTCTTTTCCTTTAACCAATTCTTTATCTTCGCTGGCGCCTCTCCCATTAACACCTCGCACTTAATATTTTTTACCTTGCCTTTTATGTGGCACCTTATTCAAGTCTTCTGAAAATCTTTACTTCCACATCTTCATGTGGGGCTTCAACCGAGCACTCCTGACTCAGAGGCGGGAGCACATCACTTTATTCTCTTGGTTATTTCATCAAAGAATTCTGTTAGATTTGTCAAACAAGATCAGCTTTTAATAATAACAATGATAATCCTTGCATTTGATATAGCGCTTTTCACGTCTTCTAGACATCTCAAAGCGCTTCACAGAATATGCTGTAAAGTGAATTGACTGTATATTTGTGGGCGAACGCGGCAGCCAATTGCGCACAGCAGCGTCCCATAAACAGTCATGGATTGAAAATGACCAATTTATTATGGTTTTGTTTTGGAGGGATTATTATTAGGCTCTGTGTGGAGTAAGGAAACTTGCCCAAGGTTTCGCCCTCTGCCTGGAATTGAACCAGGTGTCTCGCTTTTAACAACAACTTGCATTTATATAGCGCACTTGACATGGGGCAGCATCCTGGAGCGCTTCCGAACAAATCCGTATTGACTGTCTATTACCCACTAAGTGGCACAGTCCAGGGTCAGTGGGTCTGACCAGAACTCAGGGAGGACAAGAAGAGGAGACTGTGCGATTCACACAGAGCGGACTGTGGAGAGTGGCCCGGGGGGCGGGGGGATGGGGTAGTGGAGGCATTTCGCCCATAAAATACAGTCACTGAATTTTAAAGTGTATCCTGTGAAGCGCTTTGAGGTGTCTCAACAAGGTGATAAGGCGCTATTATCAAATTCAAGGATTATTATTTTTGTTTCTGCAATTTCAAGAGGGAGTTAGTTATTGAAAAGAAATTGAGAGGAGTATAAGATTCTTTTATGTATTTAGCCGCAGACCTAAACTTTCCTGGGAAGCTATTGGAGAGGGGAGTTTCTCTCCCCCGGTGTCCTGATTGTTCAACCCCAACAAGAAGACCATTCGCTTGGAGCGAGGGGCTGAGGCTGAGGGGTTTTGATATTCGAAACAACGTCGTGCTCTGCGTGTTGGTGAAGCTCTGGGACGCTGCCCTGTCTGAAGGGTGCTATATAAATTCAAGTTGTTGTTGTTTAGGGATTATTTTTTATTATGATAATTAATTGGTTACTACGGAAGCTAATTTGTTGCTGCTGTGAGCCTGAACCCGGTAAAACCACATTCCATTTGGCTGATGGGAGTTGGGACTCAAGTTCATTCTCCTGGGAACTGACCTGCTGGTTAATGTGTGCAGGTATAATTCTGTCCTGCATTGGTTGTACGGTTGTCATCAGGGAAACAGTTTAATAATAATAATAATCCTTGCATTTGATATAGCACCATCTGTTTTCGAAACGTCTTAAAGCGCTTCACTGACTAGACTGTAAAGTGGATTGACTTTATATTTTGTGGGAGAAACGAGGCAACCAATTTTGCACAAACAGTCATGGATTTTTTGGAGGGATTATTATCCCTAGAAAGCAATCTGTCAAATGACTAACAACCGGTTTCCTACTTACTGCTAAGTAAACAGAGGGATGGTGTGTGCGTGTGAAGTAAGGAAACTTGCTGAAGGGTTCGCCCTGCCCGGGAATCAAACCCGAGGTTTCTTGGTTGTGAGACAAGTGCTCCAACCACTAAGCTTCGGTATCTCTGGTAGAGCCCGAGAGCATCGGGGTTGACTGACTGCACTCAGAGCCCAATGCGGAGCGTTGTGTCTCTGAAGTGAGAGCATGAGCGAGAGGCTAAGGCAGGCTGAATGAAGCTAATGTGAATTGCTAATAGTGGTGCTGTTTACTGTGTTGTTGCAGGGATCTGTGTGAAGTGCGGGAAGGGGGTATATGGCGTGAGCCAGGCCTGTCAGGCCATGGGAAACCTCTACCACACCAACTGCTTCATCTGCTGCTCCTGTGGTGAGTGTCAGTTGAGTCCTCATACCCAAAACCTGGGGGCAGGGCTGGGACCTGGGGTCAGGGTTGGACCCGGGGCTGGGGTTGGGGTCGGTGATTGGGGCTGGACCCAGGGTCGGTGGTTGGGCCTGGGGTCAGGATCGGTGGTTGGGGCCCAGGGTTGCTGAGGTGCTCCAGTTGAAGGTCGTGTTTACTGGCAGGAGAGGAATGTCCGGAATGTTATTTTTTCACACGAAGCCGTCCTGTGGCTGTTTATCAGAGGCCAGCGCAGGCCGTCAGCAGCCTATCAGCTGCTGGTGCTCGCCGTTATCACTGGGCCGGGCGGGCTTAACCCTTCATTACCTGCGAGGTCAGCGTAATGTCTTCCCCGAGCGGTCAATCACAAGGCAGTGATAACGGTGTCTATCTTTAGCCTCAGCAGGTTTAGTGGGGCGGGGGGGAACAGTGGGCGGGGTGGGGGGGGGTGACTGGGGTAAGCTGCTCTTTCCTCGCTGTTTGCGCCCCCCCCGCCTGTGTAACGCTGAGTGTTTTCTATTAGGGAGAAGACTGAGGGGGAAAGCGTTTTACAACGTGAATGGGAAGGTTTACTGTGAGGAGGATTTCCTGGTGAGTGAACGTTGCTGTGGCGCTGGGGGAGGGAGGGGGAGCGCTGCATTATTGTCGGTCAGTATTTCAAAAGAAGGGAGTTACTTTCTTGCTCTCTCTCTCGGTGTCCTGGCCGACAATCCCCGGATTGAAGTGGCCACTTCGTGGCTGTTTGCGGGATGTGCAAGTTGGATGCCGTGTTTGAATACATAACCACACTTTAGTAAATCCTGTGGAGCCCTGTGAGACGTCTCCCTGGTGCGAACAGCAAGGCTCAGTGTGTACTCTGCTCTCTCTTGCAGTACTCAGGGTTCCAGCAGACGGCAGACAAGTGCTTTGTGTGTGGTCACCTGATCATGGAGATGGTAAGTGAGCGATCACCACTGTCCAACTGGGGAGGAACATAAGGACAGGAAAGGCCCCCACCCCAACCTGTCCCATTCTATTAGATCATTGGCTGATCTGTAACTCAACTCCATTTAACTACTTTCTCTCCATATCGTTGGATACCCCGACCTAATAAATATCTATCAACCGCGTTCCCTTTTAAGGAGTGAGTGAATTCCAGATTTCCACTACTCTCTGAGTGAAAAAGTGTTTCCTGTGTGGATACTGTGTAGAGGGAGCTTCACTGTGTCTCTAACCCTGACCTGGGAGTGTGGATGGAAATGGAGACACTGAGTTTCCTCTCTGCCTTTGCTCCCTCATGGTTTCGGCAGTGACACACTGGTGATGAGCTGCTGGAGTGTGCTGACGAGGAGAAAGGGAACATTGCCCTCAGCTGTGTCAGTGACTCTGGGATGTGAAACATCTCTCTCTTTCTCCCCTCAGATCCTGCAGGCTCTGGGCAAGTCCTACCACCCGGGCTGTTTCCGCTGTGTGGTGTGTAATGAGTGTCTGGATGGCGTCCCGTTCACAGTCGACGTGGAGAACAACATTTACTGTGTCAAGGACTATCACACGTGAGACCCCCCCCCCCATCCTCTCCCCCTGCACTTTCCCCACCAAACACACCCTGTGCCATATTATGAGTCAACAGTATATAATCTCTGTCCCGCCCACTGCCCTAGTTACCCGTCCCCCACTGAGTGGCTTCACTGTGATGTTGTTTGTATTAATGTATCTAATCTCCTCTCTCCTAATGTAGGGTTTTCGCCCCAAAGTGTGCGTCATGTGGTAACCCCATCCTCCCGGCACAGGTACGTCTCTCACTCTGATCACAGTCATTGCTGGGGACCGAGGATTATGGGGGGGTGGTGGTGGTGGTCACTGGCTGGAGGTGTGGTCACTGGCTGCTGACAGATGATTGTTGCCCCCCAGGGTTCAGAGGAGACGATTCGAGTCGTCTCAATGGACAAGGATTACCATGTGGAGTGTTACCATTGTGAGGTGAGTGAGGAAGAGAGGGAGGTGAGTGTCAGGTTATTGAGCAGGCTGGTTCGTGATGAAAAGCAGTGAGAGAGGGAGGTTAGTGATGGAGTGAGGGAGCGTAATGATGTGAGAGCGAGGGAGGTTGGTGGAGTGATTGAGTGACGGAGGTTGGTGAGCAAGGGAGGGAGGGTGTGAGAGCCGGGCTGAGCTGGGTGTGTCTGTGTTGCAGGATTGTCGGCTCCAGTTGAACGATGAAGAAGGCCATCGCTGTTACCCGCTGCACGGGCACCTGCTGTGTCACGGCTGCCACATCCGGCGGCTCAGTCTACCTTCACCCCCGCCCCCCGGGTACCAGCTGCACGTCACTGAGCTGTGATGTGCAGAGGCTGGTGCACAACAAGGACTGGCAAAGGCTTGGTGCAAACAGCGGCCGAGGTGGAGTGGCCCAGTGCCAGGACAGGCCCCGCCCCTGCGGGGGTCACAACCTGAGAGAGGAAACGAGGTGGTGATGGCGGCTGACGTGCGGTGACACACACAGCGCCGGCCGGACTGCGGAAGGTTCCGGTATCCAGCGGCCAATGGCAGCCACGACTGCCCATCAAATCATTCCGAGCGTCCGCGATGGCAGCTATGCCCCCCCCCCACCACGCTGCCCCCCGCGCCATCTTATGAGTTAATTTTATATTTAAAGAAAATTCCACATATAATGTTTTGTCACGGTGACCAAAGTAGCGTTACCCCTGCTCACTGGGCCCCGGGCTCCCCCCCGAGGTCCCAGCCGCCTCACTTAACCGATAGCAACTGTCCAAACCTGACCACAGCCGCTAACTCCACAGTAGTGATGCTTAACCAGATAATTTGGCACTTATTAACCCATTCCCTTCCTGTAATAACTAATCTCTCTACACGGTACCTTATACACAACCACAGTAATGCGAGGCAAGGGGAAAGCTCGCAGGTTTTAAACTTTTTTTTCCTTTATAATATCTGGTAGGTGAGTGACCTGGCTCTAGCCTCACCAGGGGCTGGGGGGTGATGGCGGAGCAGGAATACACCCTTTCTGCCCTGTCTGCTGCTGTTGCTAAACCGTGTAACCCGGGATCAGTGTGTACCGGGGGGGAGTGTACCTGGTGTAGGTTGGTGGGATGGTACATTAGTGATATTGGAGCGTGGGGAATGGTGTACATTCCTGATTTATGTTTCTCCCTCTCCCCCGCCCCCCAATTTACTTTCCTGTGCTTTAGTTCATCCCAGAAGGCCCACGGACTGGGGTGGGGGGGCAGTGAAGGTCAGACAGCCAGTGCTGCTCTTGTGATGAGAACCTTGCCCCCCCCCCCACCAAACACTTCATGTTATCTATGATCAGTATGAGGGCCATGGGACAGTGTGTGTGTGTACTTGGGAGGAAGTGTGTGTAGGGTGAGTGTATATATGTGTGTGAGGAGGAGTGTGCTGTGGTGGGAGGGGGGAGAACAGCTGCTGAAAAGTTGAGCCGTTCGTCCCCTTCACAGAGAAACGGCTCCACCTCAGCTTCCGGCTCTAAACAGCCAAATGTGCAGCCGCCTGACTGACCCCCACCCCAGCTCTCTAACCCCATCTGTCCCTGTCCCCCACCCTTTTCTTCATGTGGAGCTCCAGCTCCTCTCCAGCTCCTTGGTCAGAGCCTCCAGTCTCCGCTCGGCCTGACTGGGGCCGCTCTCCCGGCTCGGGGTCACCTGGTACGGCAGCTTGAACTTGTGGGCCGCGGACGGGCCCTTCGTGGGGCTGATATTGTAGGAGAGGACGGTGATGGGGGTCGGGTCGGCGCTGGGGCCGCCGGGGGGCTGGTCGTGGCGAGGCGAGGCCTGGGCGTGGAGCCGGGGATGGTAGGGGTCCGCCGGGGAGGGCGGGTCGAGAGCCACGTACCCCTCCTCTGGGTGTCCGCTGCTCAGCACCGAGGCCCGGGGGGAGGGCAGCTGCAGGTCGGGGTAAGCGGCGCTCATGGAGCCGCGGGAGCTGTGGCTGGAGATGCTCGAGCGGGGACTGAGCACCGCCGGGCCCTGTCCGCCCGGACCCTCGGCCTCGGGGCTGGTGAGCTGCCCCGAGCGGCAGTCGGAGTAGCTGGAGCGGGGGCTGATGTGCCTCTGGTCGTAGCCCATACTGATGCCGCTGGTCCGGTTGCTGCTCGGTCTGCTCTCCGAGCTGTTGAGGCTGGCCCGCGGGCTGGAGTGTTTGCTGGTGTCGCTGGCCGTGCTGGCGTAGCTGGACCGGGGGCTCTCGTACTGGCTCAGGCTGGCCCGCGGGCTGGGGTAGCGCTCCCCGCCGCCCCCCCCCGCCACCACCACCAGACTGGCCCGCGGGCTCGGGTACTTGTCGTAGCCGCCGCCGTGCAGACTGGAGCGGGGACTGGAGTGTTTGCTGTGGTCCTGGGAGGAGGAGGAGGACGAGGCCAGACTGGAGCGGGGACTGGCGGCGCTGAGCCGCGGCTCCGGGGGCGGAGGCTCACACGCGCCGCTGCTCCTGTTCCCGACATTACTGTTTCTGGCGCCGCCGCCGCCGCCGCCGGACACACCGTTACCGCGAGGCTCCGCGACAGTGCCGCCGCGGCCGCTGGTGACGTTGTTGCGCTCCGCGGCGGCGGCGACGGCACTGCTGCGGGAAGCGGACACGTTGTTCCCGCGGCTCCCGGACCCGCTGCCTCCCGGGTACAGAGGGTAAGCGTTCAGCCGACTGCAGCTCAGCCCCTCGTAACCGCTGCTCCCGCCGCTGCCGCTGCTGCTCCCGGTGCCGGTGGAGTACCGGCGGCAGTCGGTGGTGTAACCGGGCGGGAACCCGTGCGATCTGAAGCAGCCGCCGTCCCCCTCCGCCTGGTGTAGAGGCTCCAAACCGCCGCGGCCGCCGTTGACCCCCCGGGGGGCGACCGGGGACGGGCAGAGTTTGCAGAGAGCCTCCCCCCCCCCGCCGCCGCCGCCGTGGAGATGATAGTGATACAGCCCCGAGCCGCCGCCGTTCAGCCGCCGACTCTCCCGCTGCTCCTCCCCGCCCGGCGGGTGTCCCGCCATCTGCAGGTACAGGTTGGGCTTTGTGTGGTCCGCGCACGGATTGCTCAGCTCTCTGCGGCCCCCGTACAGCCCGAGCCCGTCCCGGGCCGCCTCGTACAGCGACAGGTCCTGGAGGAAGCGGCTCGCCTGGACCCCGAGCTCCTCCGGGACCTCGGCCATGGCTTCCCTCCCACAGCCACACGGCCCCCGGGCCGTGGCCGCCCCTCCGGGGAGAGGACAGCGAACGATCAGCGAGAAACCGACCGACCCCCACAGGTCCCGATCACAAGAACATCTCCTGGACTCGATTCTCCCCGAAACCTCTTCCCGTCTCTCTGCCGCTGTTCCAGTCGGTTGATTGCAATTCACATTTTACCCAATAATAATAATAATAATAATAGACAGAATATATATAATAATAAAACACACAGTGTGTGTGTGTGTGTGTGGGGACCGCAGCACTGAAGCTGAATGGCGCGCACGGCGGATGGAGCGCGATTTATTTTCAACGTGGAAAAGCGACCCGATCTGATCCGAAGAAAAAAGCAGCGACGCCGGAGAGAGAGAGAGAGAGAGAGGAGAGCCCCTCCCCCCCCCCCCCGTGTCTGTGCCCGGGCTCTGCGCTCTGCTCCCCCCGCGCTGAGACTTTGCAAAGTCCCCCCCCCCCCCCCCTCTCTCTCTCTCTCTCTCTGATCGCCCCCAGTACTCCGCAGTCTCCCCCGCGCCCCAGACGACAGGAGCCGGTGTTGCCCCCTCCCGGGTTTACACGCTGCTGGGGGGGGGGGGGGGGGGGCGGGGAGGGGGGGGGGCAGCCCCCGGTGCACTCTTTGGCGAGGCTGTGGAATGCGCGCAGGGGCACTGTGCAGTCGGGCAGCGCTCAGGCGGCCAGGAATGTGCTTAATACCGACGCCAAACAATGTGATTGAGAGACTCGGGGAGGGGGGGGGGAGAGGGGGAAGGGAGGAGAGAGGGGGGAGGAGAGGGGGAAGGAGAGGGACTGAGAAGAGAGAGAGGGGGAAGGAGAGAAGAAAGAAAGAGGGAAGAACAGAAACGAGAGAAAACTTTCCGCGACTCCCACTCACACACTCACATCCACCCAAACCCATCGGTGCAGAGTCGCTCTGAGCGCTGGTAACGCAGATCCCCCACTCACACCATGTGCCCCCTCCCCACCCACACACCATGTGCCCCCTCCCCACCCACACACCATGTGCCCCCTCCCCACCCACACACCATGTGCCCCCTCCCCACCCACACACCATGTGCCCCCTCCCCACCCACACACCATGTGCCCCCTCCCCACCCACACACCATGTGCCCTCCCCCACCCACACCATGTGCCCCTCCCACCCACACACCATGTGCCCCCTCCCCACCCACACACCATGTGCCCCTCCCCACCCACACACCATGTGCCCCCTCCCCACCCACACCATGTGCCCCCTCCCCACCCACACCATGTGCCCCCTCCCCACCCACACCATGTGCCCCTCCCCATTCACACCATGTGCCCCCTCCCCATTCGCACCATGTGCCCCCTCCCCACTCACACACCATGTGCCCCCTCCCCACTCACACACCATGTGCCCCCTCCCCACCGACACACCATGTCCCCCCTCCTCCCCACACACACACACCATGTGCCCCCTCCTCCCCTCACACACACCATGTGCCCCCTCCTCCCCACCCACACACCATGTGCCCCCTCCTCCCCTCACACACACCATGTGCCCCCTCCTGCCCTCACACACACCATGTGCCCCCTCCCCACCCACACACCATGTGCCCCCTCCTCCCCTCACACACACCATGTGCCCCCCTCCCCTCTCACACACAGTGTCCCCCTCCCCACCCACACACCATGCCCCCCTCCCCACCCACACACGGTGCCCCCTCCTCCCCTCACACACACGGTGCCCCCTCCTCCCCACCCACACACGGTGCCCCTCCTCCCCACCCACACACCATGCCCCCCTCCCCTCACACACACGGTGCCCCTCTCCCCCCACACGCACGGTGCCCCCCCACACACACGGTGCCCCCCCCCCACACACATGGTGGCCCCCTCACACACACGGTGCCCCTCCCCTCACACACATGGTGCCCCCTTCACACACACGGTGCCCCTCCCCTCACACACATGGTGCCCCCCTCACACACACGGTGCCCCTCCCCTCACACACATGGTGCCCCCCTCACACACACGGTGCCCCTCCCCTCACACACACCATGCCTCCCCTCACACACACCATGCCCCCCCCTTCCCCTCACACACACACTAACTCCCTCTGCATTTCCCAGATATTCTTTCAGCAATAAATTGTTTTCATTTTTCACGTTAATAACACAACGCAGCCTCTTACAGGGCAAGTGTGACAGGGACGGATGTGGATAGACAGACAGACAGACAGACAGAGCAGCATTGTCTGTGGCCAGTCAGATCCTCACAGGCTCATACATGTTGTCGTCCCCCACACAGGCACACGCACAACACCCCACACCCACATACACGCAGCCCCACCCCTACACAATACATGTCTCCCCCCCCCACACACACACAGCCTCACCCCAACACACACGTCTCCCCTCCACACACACAACCCCCCCCCCACACATACACACGCACCCTCCCCCCCCACACATACACATACAGCCTCCCCACCCCACACACACAGTTTGTGGGTCAGTGCAACAACCCAGAAACAATAACACAAGTCACACAGAGCAAGGCGGCCCTGGGGAATGTCTGTGCCTGGCAGTGGGTAAGGGCTGCAGCCTCAGTGTTCCTCGGCTCGGGAGCGGGAGGTGGGGGAAGAGGGAGTAAGGTAGAAACCGACAGGCTGACACCCTGACTCTATTCCCCAAATGTGTTTGCAAAGCATTATTGAGCAGCTTGAACGCTGTAATCGCTGGCACACAGAGAAACTGTGTTAATAAGAACTCTAACTCTCATTCCAACTTGTGCCTTATCACCACCGGGTACTTTGAAGTGAAGGAATGAGTCCAGGAGGTGATGTGGGCAGTGATTAGCTGATAATGACCTAAACCATACGCATCCAATCATCTCTCAGCCAATGTGGGTTTGGAATGTCTCGGGGCGGGTGTCTCTGTGTCGGGGTGGGGTGGGGGATTTTACCCACATCAGGGTGAGGGTGTTAGTACCACAACAACAGCTTTAGCCAACGACTCTTTCACACAACAGAATGTCCTCGAAGCCCTTCACACAATGTGGTTAAAGATAATTTTTTTCTTAAGAATCTCCAAACCAAGCTGAGATTTCCATGTATATTGTTATTATTATCCCATCTACACATGGAAATCCCAGCGATAGATTGTTGCAATGGAATGCACACTCTCTCTGTGGAGGGACGCATCCTGCTTACCTAATTCCAGAGAGTATTAGGCGCAGGTTGGCAAATGAAGCCAGTGTGGTTGCAAAGGTGAACACGGCAGCTAGTTCCCTGGACAACAACAAATTACATTTATATAACACCTTTCACATCATCTCTGTTCTCATACAGGCTTCAAACTGTGGGACGTATCTCATGCCTAACCCTCAGCGCGGTAGGATTCTCATCCAGAGGAGCACAGCTGGCGGGGTGGGGAGGGGCAGAGGTGGTATATCTGACATTATAGAGCAGCAGGAGGGCTCCAAAATCCAATCCTTAAATCCTGAAGTGTCCCCTTGGGTCATCTCTGTGGACATTGCCAAAAAAATGGTCATCGATCCACAACTTTTTGTGAGGACATTGCTGTGCACATATTCGCTGCCCACAAAACAGTCACTGCACTTCACAGTAAATCCTGTGAAGCATTTTGAGACATTCTACCAGCATGAAAGGATTGTGTTGGATGATATTATTACTAAATGAGTCAGTGGTGATCAAGGCAAGAATGTGTATTCAGATCGACAATATGTAGGGATGAGTCATTTCTACAAAGGGCAATAATATCATTTGAGATTATGATATTTCAGTCAAATTATAGGAAAATATATTAGTTGATTTTAGAAACTGATAATTCAGTGATATCTGAGATTGCGATCATTTCTCTTTCTCACTCTCTCATTTACGATCTCTCTCCTTTCTCTCACTTTTTCTATCTCACTCATGTTCTCTCTCTCTCACCTGCATTCTCTCTCTTTTCATTTTTTTCTCTCTGTCACTCATCTCTCTATCACCTGCATTCTCTCTATCACTCGCATTTTCTCTTTCACTTTTTCAGTCATGTTCTCTCACTTTCTATCTCTCTTTACATGTACATAATAGATTGAGAAATGAAGCGCAGATCAGCACTTTGGGATGTGCAGAGGCAGCTGAACAAGAGCAAACAAGTTTCCAACAACTTCAGACACCGGCTAAAGCTAATCCTTCCCCAGAGAGAATGCCTCAAAGCGTTTCGCGGGAATTCACTATAAAGTGTAGTGACTGTTTTTATAGGCGAAACACAGCGACGTCCCCCCAAACAGCCTTGGAGTGAGCAAGCAATTTTATTTGGGGGATTGTTGGCCAGGACACCAGAAGAAAGCGACTCCTTTTTCTTTTCCCTGGCAGCATCACGGGAGATCTTTAATGTCCACTTGAACCCTTCTCTCTCTCACTTTCTATTGATTGCTTCTATTTTGTCTCACTTTCTCACACATTTTCTCTCCCTATCACTCGTGTTCTCTTCCTCTCCCACTTTCTCTCCAGTTCTTTCTCTCACTTTTCCTGTGCACTCTCTTTCTCCCATGTTGTCTCCCTCTTTCTCTCTCTCGTGTCTCAGCCTTGCAGGGTGGCCAGGCTTGATGCCACACCCACCCCCGGGGGCTGAGCCGGGACAGACAAACCGGTTGTGTTGCTACTGCTCCTGTTCTCCTCGCCCGACTGGGAGCTGCTGCCATGTGGCTGACGGTGCTGCTGCTGGTGATTGTGGTCCAGGTCAGCACAGTCCCAGCTGGACAGCGGTGGTGGGGGGGTGGCCTGAGCCTAGGATAGAACTTGCTTATTCTCTCTATCACTTACTCTCTCTCTTAAATGCTCATGTTCTCTCTCTCATTATCTCATTCTCATTCAGTTCTCTCTCTGACTTTCTTGATCACTCGTGTTTTCTGTCTCTCACTTTTTCTCTATCAATCACTTTCTCTTGCACTTTCAACACTTTTTCACTCTGTCTCTCGAGTCGACTATCTATCACTCGCACTGTCTCTTGCTTACTTTCTCTCTATTACTCTCGCACTTTCTCAATTTCTCTGCCGATCATTCTCTCTGATTCAGTGTGGGTGTGGTTCAGGAATAGAGGCTGTTATTGAGTCTCTGTTGTCTGTCTCCCCCACCCAGACTGGCAGCCAGCGTCAGGCACGTAGTGAGAACCTCATCGAGACCCAAGCGGAAATTGAGACCTTATTCACAACTGAAGGTTTGTGTCTGTGCGTCAATCCCTCAGAGACCCAATTCCCGACCCTAACCTTCACTCAGAATTCTCTCGGCCAGACTCAGTCGCTCGCGCTCTCGCCTCTGAGTCAGAAGGTTGTGGGTTCGAGCCCCCCACACGTCAAGGACTTGGAACCATATAGGCTCATAAGCTGATGCTCCACTGGTAGCTCGGTGTCAATAACAAATTGTATTTATAAAGCATCTTTCATGTCGAGAGGACATCCCAAGGCGCTGGACAATCAGTGTTTCGGACCCAAGCTTGGGGTCGGGATCAGGGAGGGTGGAGGGCAAGGGGTGAAGGAAGGTGGCCGAAGGCATGGTTGAAGTGGAGGGTCTTGAGTTGCGTCCTGAAGGAGGCAACGGAGGGGGCGAGGTGGAGGGACTCTGGAATGGAGTTCCAGGGGGTGGAAGCAGAGTGGCTGAAGGCTTGCCCACCAATGGTGGGGCAGGTGAGATGGGCTTCGTGGAGTAGGTTCTGGAGCCCCTTGAGTGGATGGAGCAGGCAGGTTAGTAGTAAGGGGTTAGGAGGTTGCAGGGGTAGGGGGAGCAAGGTCATGGAGGACTTTGAAAGTGAGGACCAGGATCTTAAATTGTGTCGTCTGTGTGATGGGAAGCCAGTGGAGTCGGGTGAGGATGGGTTGTATTCCCTTGGATTGTATTCCCTTGAGTTTAGAAGGTTGACGGGTGATTTGATTGAGGTATTTAAGATGATAAAGGGATTTAACAGGGTAGATGCAGAGACGCTATTTCCTCTGGTGGGGGAATCCAAAACAAGGGGGTATAGTCTTAAAATTACAACAAGGCCATTTAAGAGTGAAATCAGGAAGCATTTTTTCACTGAAAGGGGGTTGGAAATCTAGAACTTTCTCTCCCAAAAGGCCGTGGATGCTGGATCCATCAACACCTTCAAGAGTGAGGTTGATAGATTTTTTTGGTAGGTCAGGGTATTAAGGGATATGGGGAGAAAGTGGGAAATTGGAATTGAAGGATTAGTTGAGTTACAGATCAGTCATGATCTAATTAAATGGCGGAACAGGCTCGAAGGGCTGAATGGCCTCCTGAAAAGCTCGAAGAGCTGAACGCCTGAATGGCAAGAAGGGGGGAGGGCAAGAGATGTGAAGGGCAAGAGAAGTGGAGGGCAAGAGGGGTGAAGGAAAGTGGGATAAAGGGAAGAGAGGTGGAGGGCAACAGAGGTGGAGGGCAAGAGGGGCAGAGGGAAGAGGGGTGGGAAGATGACCAAAGGCAAAGGTCGAAGAGGAGGGTCTTGAGATGGGAGTTGAACGGGGCAAGGGAGGGGGCGAGGTGGGATACATGGAGCAGGCTCACTGGGTGCTTCGTTTTGCTCAGATTGTGTCTGGTTCCCTTGCTATGAGACTCAGTCCTGTGAGCATGCAGTGGGGATCCCCGAGAACATCAGGAAAAGAGAAGGGAACAGCAGCCATTGCAGCGGGCTCCAGGCAGTGACCATCGAGTGGAACCCAAGTCCTTACGGTAAGGATTACAAATGAGCTGTGTGTCAACCTGGTGCGGTGGTAACGTTTTCGCCTCTGTGTCACAAGATTGTCACAAGCCCCCACCTCAGTATTTGGAATCACAATCTAAGCTGACACTCCAATGCATTGCTGGAGTGTGTCGCATTGCCAGAGGTAGTGTCGTAAGGATGAGATGTCAAACTGAGGTCCCGTATGCCTGTTCAGGTGGATGTTAAAGATCCCATAGCACTGTTTGGAAAGAGAAGGGAGTTTCTTTTTCCTGGTGTCCAGGCCAACAATCCCCCGAATAAAATTGGTCCTCACTCCATGGCTGTTTTGGGACATTGTTGTGCGCAAACTGGCTGCCGTGTTTTGTCCACAAAATACACTCACTCTGGATGTGGATTGGGGTAACTCCTGGAGTCTATTCAGACTGAGGGAGAGAGTGTCGGAAGGGTGGGGGCTCTGTCAGGGGGAGTGGGCAAAGAAGGCGCTGATTGATCTCTGGTATCTCTTATTCCAGGGATCGAGTTTGTACAGGGATTTCGGGTTGACCTTGTGTCCCTCTCTGGCCCGAGCTCGGTATCCGAATGCAGACAGCTGGTTCTCCGCGATGGCGTCAGATTGGAGCCGCAGTTGGTCAGTCAGGCAGGGGAGGAGGGCTTAAGTACTCTGACGGGCGCAATATAAATGCAAGCTGTTGTTGCGGGGATTGGGTTGGGGAGTGTGGGCATTGGATTGAGCGGTGGGGGTTTGGAGGGTTTGCAGTTGGGGTATTAGAGTTGGATTTGGGGACTGGAATCAACCCTCTCCCTCCTCTGTCTGTCCTTGGAGCCCAAATAGCTGATATCCTCACCCATTTCTGTTGTCCAGATCATTGGTAGCACATTTTGCCTTGGTTCAGACACATTGTACGGAGCTGTGGTCTATGGATTCCCTGTCCCACCTGGCCGGGAGCATCATGCTCAGCAAATCCAGTTCCGCACAAACTGTGAGTGTCTCTCTTGTCCCAGGATTGCTTTTATCCTACGATTTCACCTTAGTTTGTCAGCCTGGCTCAGTCGCGCTCTCACACCCCCAAGTCAGAAAGTTGTGGGTTTGAGCTCCCTACACATTGGGGACTCGGAACCATATAGTCAAAGCTCCAGTGCAGATTGGAGGAAGAGAGAGCACTGCATTGTCGTGGGGGCTGTCCTCTGAATGAGACATTAAACCTCTGTGCTCTGTTCAGGGTGGACATTAATGATCTCTCTAAGGGGAAAAGAGAAGGGAATTTCTCTCTCTCTCTTCCGGCGTCCTGGCTGACAGATAAAACCATTTGCTCGCTTCACAGCTGTTTGCGGGATGTCGCTGTGTGCAAGTTGGCTGCTGTGTTCGCCCACAAAACACACAGTCACAACACTCTACAGTCAATTCTGTGAAGCGCTTTGAGACGTCCTCCCGACCAAGTTAGGATTATAATTTTTTAAAACTATTCCATTGTTTTATTTTTTTCTCACAGCCTCATACTCTAATGGCAGACGAGCAAATCCTTCAAGTAAGAGTTCAACCTCCACCACCCATCCCAGGCTCTGTCGCATTCGCACACCCTCAGACATACACCCTCACACAATGACACACAGTAACACACACACACACCCTCACACAGTGGCACACAGGCAGGGAGTGGTACTGAGTGTGACTGTGTGTGTAACAGCCTGGACGCCCTCTCGCCTGAGCTTCACGCAGGACGGTCATGATGTCACAGTTAGCTTCACCGCCGCCGCTGACACCGACAACATCAACAGTTACCACGTCTACCATGGTCGCTGCCCTCCCGGGGAGCCGGCTCCTCTCTCCTGGCAACACACCCACATGGTGAGCAAACTCTCCCCCTGCACCACACTGTCTGTGTCTGTTTGTACGTGTCTATGTGTGCATCTGTGTATGCACACGGGTGTGTGTCAGTGTGCATGTCTACATCTTGGTGTTGGTGCTGATTTCAACGATAAAGCCAAGTCTCTTCCCTCAGCCTCATGACGGAGCTGGGACTGTGCAGGTTAGACTGGGGAGCCTGGAACCCGGCTTTAACTACAGTGTTGTGGTGAGTCAACTCCTCCCTCCATAGACTGCAGATCATCCAGATCTCTGCAGTCCGTGTCCTCTTCCACACCAGGCTCCACGACTGTATCACCTACCTCCTCGCCTGACTCCGCTGGCAGAGGATACAGTTCAAGATCCTGGTCCTCACCTCCATAGCCCTCCTTCCCCTACCTCTGCGACCTTTTAATAATCCCCTACCAACCTGCCCGTTTCCTCCTGCTTCATGTCCCCCGCTTCAACCGCCCCACCATTGGCAGGTGGGCCTTCTGCCACTCTGCTCCACCCTCTGGAACTCCAACCCTCAGTCCCTCCACCTCACCCCCTCTCTTGCCTCCTTCAAGACCCGTCTCAAGACCCTTCTCTTCGACCGTGCCTTCGGTCACCCTCATTCCCCCCCACTTCCCTCCACCCTCCCCAATCCTGACTCCCAGCTTGGGTCCGAAACACTGATTGTCCAGCGCCTTGGGACGGCGGACCTGCCTGGCTCAAGAACCGGACTAGAGACAGGCACGGAGGACTGGCTCGATTCCAACATTCCGTTGCCAAACTTGTCACCTTAGAGCCAGTTCAGTTCCAAGGGACCCCGCTTCTTGTTGTCTCTGAGAGCATTGTGCTGAGTTGGTTTCTTCTCTGACACACTGAGTGTGTATTTTTTGCAGCTTCTGTCTGATCAGGAGGGAGCTGAGCGACGAGAGGTAACATATTTTGTGAAATCAGGTAAGTCTGAGCTCACAGGACCGGCTGACGCTCTACCGCAGATCTGGAGGGAGAGAGAGCGTCACATTGTCGGAGACTTTAAACCTCACTCCCCGTCCGTGCCCTATTTGGGGCGGATGGTAAAGATTGGTGTGTGTGTATGTGTGTTAACCCTGTAAAACAAAGCCCTAACAAGTCGGTGATCCAAGTCGCGGGAAAGCTTGCTAGACAGCATTCTCAATGGTGGTTTCAGCTGGTTAGACTCCAGCAGTTATTCCAACCCACACTCTGGGATCCCCTAAGCCTTGGCTCTCGCTCTCTAAGCATGGTGATGGGATTCTGCGTGGGTCAGGCATGCGGCTGACTGAAGTATAAAGTGTGTGTACATGCGTGTGTGTTCACAGAGCAGACAGGAGAGGGACAACAACTCACACTTACTCTGCTGCTGGTGCTCTTTGCTCTGATCTCGACCGTTGTCACTGTGACAGCCAGTCATCTCATCAACAACAGGAAGCAAAGTGAGTGTGCTTCATCTCTGCTCACCGTGTGTGTTTGTTTTGTGTGTATTAAGAGTGTGTGTTTGTCAGTGTATATATATGTCAATGTGTATGTCAGTGTATGTGTAAGTACGTCAGTCTGGCCTTCTATCTCTGCCTTTCTCATTGTCTGACTCTGTCTGTTTCTCTCTTCTCTCAGATGGAAAGCGAGGTGAGGCTGGCTTTGGGGACGACTCTGTGTCTGAGCCCTTCACAACACAGAGAGTCTCTAACCCAAGAGTCTTTCTCCTGTACCCAGACACGGCCTCTCCAACGCTGCTCAACGTGGTACTTCACTTTGCCACTTTCCTACAGGCACACTGTGCTTGTCAGGTTAGTCACTCGCACTCCCCCCAGGCCTACACACATTCACAAATTAACACTCACCCCAATCCAATACACCCAGATGCACTCACACAGTGATAGACACACTTACATACACATACTCTCACACACATACACTATGACACTGACACACACACACACTGTGACTGTGGTGTCTGACTCCCCTCAGGTGGTGCTGGACATGTGGGAGGAGCTGGCGAGGGGCCTGGAGGGGCGAGCAGACTGGATAGTTCGGCAGTTGGCTGAGGCCCACTTCATCGTTGTGATGTGTTGGCCGGGAGGCGGCTGCCCACCGGGGCCCGGATGGGGGGGCTTCTTCTCCCTGGGGGTGTCACTGGTGGCGGAGCAGCTCCTCCAGGCCCGGATAAATTCAAGCGGCCTCTCCCGCTTCATTGTGACCTGTTTCGGACAATGCAGAGAGGCCGATGTCCCTGGGGTGCTGGATTTGGCCACGAAATACAAGCTGATGGAGGCCTTGCCCAGGTTTTTCTCTCACCTTCACTCCCTGGAACTGCTGGGCCCAGGCCTGGCCCTGCACGTGGACGGGATCTCAGAGGAGACTTACCCTGCAACCCCCTCTGGATTTGCTCTGTACGAAGCTCTAAGACTCGCTGGGGAAGATGGGAGCATGGAGTCAGCCACACTCTGAGGGTGGTGTAGCACTCACTTGCATGCACTCTCCCTCTGTATTATGTGCCTCCGAGTCAGGAGGTTGTGGGTTTGAGCCTCACCTTGGGAACTCTAAGTCAAAGTCTATGACGACACTCCAGCGCAGCGCTGGGGGAGAGCGCAGTATTTTTGGAGATGCCGTTTACAGTGTGTTCTGTGAAGTGCTTTGAGATTCTCGAAGACGTGATAAGGCATTGTATCAAATGTCAGAATTATTATTATTATGTTAAACCTCATTCCCCCTCTGTGTCCTATTCAGGGCAGACGTTAAAGATCTGCTGCAGCGCTGTCAGGGAAAAGCAAATAAGAGTTTTTCTCTTTCTGTCTCTACTGGTATCCTGGCCGACAATCTCTCAGATTAAAGGTTATTTCTTGCCCACTCCACAGCTCTCTGTGTCTGTGTGTCAGGGACATTACTGTGTGCAAATGGGTTACCGCGTTCACAGTCACTACACTGCAGAGTCAGAAGGTTGTGGATTCACTGCAGAAATCCATCACCGTGATCAGCCGGTATCTGACACAACCAGAAACGCATCACCACGATCAGCTGGTGTTTGACCCGCAGAAGCCCATCACCATAATCAGCCAGATGTCTGACCCGCATGGAAACCCATCACTGTGATCAGCTGTGTGTCTGACCAACGCGGAAACCCGTCGCGGGATTATAATATTAATGATAATTTATGTATAATTATATATGTAATGTACAATAATTATTTGTACATGTTTATATATAATTTATATATAATCCAGTGCCTTGGGACATCCTACCGACATGAAAGGCGCTATATTGGGCAAGTTTCCTTACTCCACACACACGCCTCTGTTTATCTAGCAGTAAGTAGGAACCTGGTTGGTAGTCAATTGGTGGATTGCTTTTCTGGGGGGAATAATTCCTTCAAAAAAAAAGTAATAAATTATTCATTAAATCCATGACTGTTGGTGGGACACTGGTGGGCACAATTGGCTGCCGCGTTTCGCCCACGATAATATACAGTCAGTTCACTTCACAGAATATTCTGTGAAGAGCTTTGAGACGTCTCGAAGCCATGATAAGGCGCTATATCAAATGCAAGGATTATTTTAAATTATTTACATAAATTTGTTGTTCTAATAAACTAAACTATTAGGATAATGTATATTTGTATAATTTATATTAATAATGATTTAGATAACAATTATAATAGATAAACTGTGTAATTATTGTTACAATTATAAATGAAGTACCTGTGTTATAACTACTGGGGACACAAGTGACCTGTCAATCACTCTGCCTCACCTCCCAGCATCCCGCGCACTGTCCCCGGCCTCACCTCCCGGCATTCCCCGCACTATTTCCGGTGGGGATGGAGGAAGTTGATCGGATTCTGCTCAACTCCCTGAGACAGAGCGGCGCGTGAGTCACCCCCTAACTCAATAACTAACTCATTAACTAACCCCACAACAGCTCACTCACCCCACAACAGCTCACTCACTCAGTAACCAGCTCAATACCCCATTAACCAACTCACCAACTCAGTAACCAGCTCAATACCCCATTAACCAACTCACCAACTCAGTAACCAGCTCAATACCTCATTAACCAACTCACCAACTCAGTAACCAGCTCAATACCCCATTAACCAACTCACCAACTCAGTAACCAGCTCAATACCCCATTAACCAACTCACCAACTCAGTAACCAGCTCAATACCTCATTAACCAACTCACCAACTCAGTAACCAGCTCAATACCTCCATTAACCATCTTAATAACTAACTCACTGTCTCAATACAACTTGCATTTATACAGCGCCCCCCACGCCGGGCGGCATCCCAGAGCACTCAATAACCAACATAGCAAGACAGCAGCCCGTGGGTCATCCCCTAACCCAATAACTGTCCCAATAACCAACTCACTAGCCCAATAACTAACTAACTAACCAACCCCAGGGCGGCACGCAAGTTTCTCTTTAATCCAATAACCAGCTCACTATCCCAATACCTAATTCAATAACTAACTCAATAATCAACTTCCTTGGGCAGAACGGCATGTGAGTCACCCAGCAATTCAGTAACTAACTCAATAACTTCCCGAGTCACGGCAGAGCGTGTAACTCACTGACTGATTAGATAACTCACTGCCTGACTGGCTGAGCCACTGACTGGCTGCCTGTGACTAGTGTCTCTGTCTTCACAGGGACATCGCGGAGGATGTGGAGAGCGTGCGACAGCTAACAACTGAGCTGATTGTGGAGTGCGTGGTCCGCTGCTTGCGTATCCTCAACCCGGCCCTTGGGAATGGCGTCAGCCACTTGCTTCCACCGGGAATGTCGGCTCGGTTCCGGATCGGAATGTGCCTTGCCCAGGCCTGTCAGGTGAGCGATATCTTGAGGAGATGAGCTGATGAACGAGCGAGCAGTTTTATCTATTGAAATCTATCTAGTATTATCTCTGAAATGCTGTACACTGTCCCCCCCGATGTGAAAGGCTCTATACAAATGTAATCTTGTTGTTGTATTGGCCAGGAAAAAAGATCTCCCTTTTACCCCCGATAGTGCTGCGGGAGATCTTTGATGTCCTCCCTGAATAGGGCATGGATTGCGAGTGAGGTTTAATGTCTCATCCGAAGGACGATGCATCCGACAATATGGCGTTCTCTCCCCGCCAGCACTGCACTGGAGGGTCCGATCTGTGGACATTAAAGATCTACCACCGCACCGTTGGAAAAAAGGGAGTTTCTCTCTGTCTCTCTTAATCCTTTGTATCTTCTCCTACATGTTTAGGAGCTGGGTTACCAGGGTGAGATTGGGTACCAGACTTTCCTCTACAGCAATGAGCCGGAGATCAGGCGTCTCCTCATGTTTCTGGTGGAAAAGCTTCCTCGAGACAGTGCAGACACAGCAGACCAGCCTGCAGGTAAGTTATGGCAGCCCGGCTCAGTTGCTGTGTATGTCAGCCTGGATCAGTCACTCGCTCAAACAAGTCCTTCTTTGTTTTGTGTCTTGACAGAGAAATCAGTTCTCCTTCAGAGATTGATTGCCACTAAGATCAAGCAGCAACTGGCCAGCGCTTGGCTACCGCCTGCTCTCCGCACCACGTCTCTGCTCAACACTCAGGTCAGTCTCTCATAATAAGCCTCACATCTGGCCAGAGCTCCCACCTCAAGAGGATGTCTTGAAGTACTTCCCAGGGATTCGCTGTAATGTGCGTTTTGTAGGGCCACCGATTTGAGCACAGTGAACGTTTTTATCTGTTGGCCAGGACACCGAGAGAGAGAACGAGGGGAAGGAGAGAGGGAGAGTCGCTTTTCCCCCCAACGGCGTTGAAGGAGATCTTTAACAACTAATAACAGCCATGTGTGTTTCTTACACAGAATTCCTGCCTGATGAACAAGTTCCACTCTCAGGCGCTCAGCTTGGTGGGCAGCACAGAGGGACACGTCCCGAGAGGTAAGTGCAGCTGAGTGAGAACAGGCCTGATTGCCTGACATCCGGGGCGACGTCTCGATGCGCTTTACCAGGTTTCACTGCCTCTGGTTCTGAGCTGTGGGGGTGAGAGACAAAGGGAGCTCTCTCCATCTGCTCCTCCTCTCTCCCCCTCTCAACAGTCTCTCTTGTTCACAGAGCTGTGGGAATACTGGGAACAGCACCAGCCGCCGGTGACAGCTCAGGCCTGGGACCAGGCCTGTGTCGCAGCCTCTGTGCTGGAGCGAGCGACAGCTGACCTCAGCGCCGTGCAGGAGTGGGAAGCAGAGTGGAACAGCCAGGGCTTGGTCTCTCGACTCTCCCCTGAGGTAGGTGTGGCACTCTGGGAGGTGGGGGAAAAGAGAGCTCCTGTTTCATTGTGTATCAGCCTGGCTCAGTTGCTTGCACTCTCACTTTTGGAGTCAGAAGGTTGTGGGTTCAAGCCCTACATCAAGACTTGCAATCACACAGTCAAAGCTAACGCTCCAGTGCAGTGCTGGGGAGTGTTGCATTGTCGGGGGCGCTGTCCTTCGGATGAGACGTTAAACCAAGTTCCCCGTTCATGCTCTGCTCAGGTGGACGTTAAAAGATCTTTCCACAGCATTATTCGAAAAGAGACGGGAGTTTCTCTCTCCCCTCCAGTTTCCTGGCCGACAATCTCCAAATAAAATCGGTCTCTTGCTCCATGGTCGTTTGTGGGACACTGCTGTATGCAAACTGGCTGCCTCGTTTCACCCACAAAATACAGTCACTATATTTCTGTGAAGTGCTTTGAGATGTCTCAATGATGGGATAACGCACCATATCAAATGCAAGGATTATTATGAAAATATCTTCTCCCTATGTTTTTCGTTCTCTCACACAGGAATACAAAGCCAGGAAAAGGCAGCGTTTACAAAGCAGGATACAGGAATATTTAAAACAAAGCAGCCAGCGGTCAGAGGTCAGGGCAGGTCTCGCTGGGACCCCTGCCCCCGACCTGACAGATCCCCGCCCAGACCACAGGTGTCTCCGAGCTAAACACTCTCGTTTCATCCACACTGAAAAATTCACTTTCACACAGGTAAGTGAGGACCTCGTCCTCTCTCTACCCCGCTGTCTCCCCCTCTCTTGATTAGTCTTTATCCCTCCATCTCTGTCTCTATCATTCCTCTCTTCCCCCCTCCCCCCACCCATCTTCAAATCCAGTCTTAAAACCCACCTCTCAAGATTTCGAACCCCTTGATCCTGTCACTTTGAAGAGTTCTAAATGCAAGTCCTGGCTGACAGATCTGTGTCATCACTCTTTGTTGTGTTTCTCCCCCCCCGCCTCCCCACCCACACACATATACAGGAAGCTGATAAAGATGTGAGTCAGTCACTGGCGTCCATCAGCGGCCGAACCTCATCGAAGGATTCACAGGAGGTGAGAGGGAGCGAGGCTGGGAGGGAGGGAGAGAGAGACACTAGTGGGAAATGTGTGTGTTATTCACCGTAACCAGCCACTTCACTGAGAGCCCCCACACAGACTCTCAACACATAGTCACTACACTTCTCTCATCAGTTTCCTCCCCCAACACCACAGGATGTTCAGGCAGAACAGCAGAAGGAAGTGAGGGAGCTGGAGAAACAGCTTAAGAGTTTGGGGGAACAAATCCAGGATGTGAGAACAGCCATGGAAACCCAGACCCTCACTGTGAACCAGGTAAGTGCCCAGCGCGAGGGGAGGATTGTTAATAATAATAGTCCTTGCTTTTGATATAGTGCCTTATGTTGTTGAGACGTCTCAAGCGCTTCGCAGGATTTACTGGGGGTGGAGGAGGTATGGTTACAGCCTGGGTGAATGGAGAGTGACGCTGGTTTGTGTTGAAGGCGGAGGAGGAGACAAGGGACCGGGAGCTGAGTGCAGAGGAGAAGCAGCAGCTACTACACATCAGGAAGCGAGCGCTGGACTTGCTGCCTGACGCAGAGGGCAACCTAAGCAAACTGCAGGTAAATCACAATCACTCAACTGGAGCAAATGCCAGGTAACGCGTTGACACACACTGGCTCACACTCAAGCTCATCAAACTGCAGGTAACCTGCGCTCGCTCACACTTGCTCTCGGTCACACTGACTCGCTGACACGCATGGTGTTCGTCTCTCTTGCCCAGGCTGTGATGGAGGCCAGTGCCCAGCGGCTGGTGAGTTTGGCTGGTCAATGGGAGAAGCACCGAGTCCCGCTCATCGCGGAGCACAGGAGGCTGAAACAACAGCTGGACAGCCACGAGGTTAGCGGGCCGCTGGGGGGTGGAGAACTGGGGTTGTCTGTCTGTCGCTGATGCCATCTGTTTCTGTCTGCCTTGTTTTGTAACTGTCTCTCTCTCAGTCTGTCTGTTTCACTTTCTCTGTCGCTGACTTTCTCTTTGTGTCTTAGCTGGAGTCCTCGCGACGACTGATGGAGATTAAAGAATTTCATGAGAAAATTAAAACGTCAGCAGAGGAGGCGAAGAGAAAAGAGAACGTTCATCGTCAGCTCGTGAGTCACTGCTCCCCGCCATGTCTGTCTCTCACTCCCCTCCTCTTCGTCTCACGCCCCTCTCTGTCTCGCTCGCTCCCCCCACTCTGTGTCTCTTTATTTCTCTTCTCTCCCCCCCCCCCCTCTCACTATCTCTTGTCTCTCTCAGGTGCTGGAGTTGGAGCATTTGTCGCGTGGGGTGGGTCGAGCAGCGTACACTCAGCGCATCCTGGAGATTGTCAGTAACATCAGCAAACAGAAAGAGGAAATCACCAAGGTGATGTCTTGGGTGGCGAGGGAAGGAGGGAGCAAGCGAGGGAATAGAGTGGAGCTCAGTGCTTGCCTGCTGTGTACTTATTAGACGGTCTCTGTGCGTCTCTCCTGCTTGACCCTCTCCCCTCTCCATGTGTGTTTCAGATCCTGTCAGACACGAAGGAACTACAGAAGGAGATTAACAGCCTGACGGGCAAGCTGGACAGGACCTTCGCTGTCACAGACGAGCTGCTCTTTAAGGTTGACAAAGAAATCCACTTAACTCCCCTCCCCCCACCCCCAACGCAGGGGGCTCTAAGCTCAGTCCAGGTTGACACTCCTCCCCCAGATTCATGAGAGGGAGCGAGTGTTGCCAGAGGAGAGGGTACAGGATCTTAAACACCCCCCATTGTGTCTTGGCCAACAATCCTCCAGATTAATGGCTCATCCTCGAGCTGTGTCTGAGTGTGTGTAGGAATGAGTATATATGTGTGAGAGTCAGTGTATGTGTGTGAAAGTGAGTGTGTATGCGAGTGTTAGTGTGAATGCAAGAGTGAGTGTATGTGAGTCAGTTACGTGGCCTAGGCAAATGGCTGCCATGTTGGCTGCTGACTTTGCCCCAACATGCACAGACCTTTCTCACTGACTCTCTCTCTGTCTCTCTTTGAAGGATGCAAAACGTGATGAAGCCGTGCGGAAAGCTTATAAATACCTCGCAGCTCTGCACGAGGTGAGCACAGGCAGGCGGGTGGTTAGACGCGAAAGGCGCAATGTAACTGAGAGTCGTGGCGCTCTGTGAGACATCTCTCTGGGATGAAAGACGTGTGTGAATGTACATGGTCGTATTCTCCACAGAACTGCAGTCAGCTGATCGAGACCATTGAGGACACAGGCACCATCCTCAGGGAAGTCCGCGATTTGGAGGAACTGGTGAGAGAGTAACACTCATTCCCTCTCTTTGTCGCTCGCTCGCTCTACTGTCTGTCTCTCTGACTCACTCGCACTCATTCCCTCATGGGCTCTGTCCCTCTCGGTCACTCCCCTCTCTCACTGAGCGCTGTGACAGGCCAGAAGCTGGTTATTAATATTCTGGTGGGGGGGGGGGCATTGTTTTGCAGATTGACTTGGAGACGGGAAAGAAGACTTTAATTAACTTGGAGAAGATCTTGGAGGATCACAGAGCAATCAGACAGGAGAACGCTGGCCTGGCTGGTAGGCTGAGAGAGGCCTGAACCCAACCACAGCCAGATACACACAGGGCCAGAGAGAGAGAGAGACGGACGGAGAGAGAGAAGCACATATACACAGTGACAACTACACGGGGGGGCTTACAGGAAGAGAAGAGAACGAAAGAGATGGGACCACAGATACACACAGGGAGACAGAAAACAATACTAAAACCCAAATATTTTGCGAGGCTCCAAGACTGAGATTTTTGTACGATGGCTGTCATGGAGAAGCGCTCAGTCTGCGATTCAAACTCCCAGGGATTCTCTCTTCTGGACCAGAAGTGGGAAAATGATGGGATCAGTGATCAATAATTGTAATAAAACTTATATCAAACACCCATGTCTTGTCAATCCTAGTTTTACACTGGGGTTTTGATACCCAGAGTTCAACGATCAATAACAATAATAGCTTGCGTCTAACACGGAGGCTTCCATGTCGAAAAGATGTCTTGAACACTTCACAGGGTTTCACTGTGAAGTGTAGTTACTGTGTTTTGAGGGCGCTGTGAGGCAGGAATGAGTGCCAGTGAGTCAGAGACTGACAGTGAGTGAGACTGAGCAAGAGTAATGTCCCCTCAAACAGCTGTGAAGCAAGTGGCTTTATCGGCCACGAGGAGAGAAACTCCCTTCTCTTTTTCCTCTCGACAGCTCCGTAGGAGATCTTTTAAGGTTACCCTGAACAGGGCATGGACGGAAGTGAGATTTAACATCTCATTCGAAGAACAGTGACTCCCAACACTCGCCCCAGCGCTGGGCTGGAGTGTCGGCTCAGACAAATCGTGCGAGTCCCTGATTTATAGGGGATCAAACCCACAACCTTCTTGTGAACTGTTAACGTCAGTGATAATTAGTTATCTCCGAGGACACGCTGTTATTGTTAACCATGCTAGTGTTAATTATAGTTAACAATAACTTAGTTATTTAGTAAGTTAATTGGTCAGTTATTATTCAACCAGTTAATTAGTTACTAAGTTAATTAGTTCTTCAGTCAGTTAATTATTTAGTAAGTCAGTCAATTAGTGATTTATTCAGTCAGTTAATCAGCTATTCAGTCAAATATTCAGTAGTTATTCAGCCAATGAATGAATCAGTCGGTGTCAGCAGTGAGTGTTGTGGCCTCCAGGGGTCGCTCTCTCCCTCCCCGGGGCTGAGCGGGAGGGGATGGAGCCGAGGGCCGCGGCGGTCCCGGGCCCGAGTTTGGGGGTGAAGGCCGAGCCTGGAGGTACCCCGGACCCAGGCCTCGGCCTGTGGCTGTGGAGCTGGAATGTAAACGGGATCCGTGGCTCACGTTTCAGCCACAAACTGGAGGAGAATCAGCGCCACAATCAGCCCCGGATCATCTGCCTCCAGGAGACGCGAGTCAGCAGTAACTATGATCATATCAGAGAAATATCATTCATTTAATATCATAAAACTGCAATAATTCCCTTCAAAACAATAAAATAATAACGTGGTGACTTCAATCCTGGACCGTTTGTGGGTATAATGAACTGCTGCGTTTCATCCACAAAACACAGTCACTACACTTCACAGCATATTGTGCGAAGCGCTTTGAAATGTTTCGAAGACACGATAAGACTATATCGCACTCGACGATTATTATTGTTGTATATAATAAACATATACTAATCAGTGGCGACCAGGAGACCGGAGACAGTGTGTAAAATTGATCTAAAATAATAATTAAAAACGGTCTAATATCAAATAACATTAATATAGTACAGTAAACTCCCGATAACTTGTTGCTTTGAGGGGAAAGGGCTCAATGATGAGTTAACAGGAGCTGAGAGTTAGGCGTGTGTATAAATATATATTGACTCAATGATACCTTAATTCCTAGTGCCGGGTTAAGGTATTATGTGAGTGAAAGTGAGAGCGTTACATTGTCAAAGACGTGAAACCTCACTATCTATCCATTCCCTGATCAGGGCGGACGTTAAAGATTTCCCGCAGCGCTGTCGGGGAAAAGGGAAGGGGGTTTCTCTCTCTCCCCCCACCTTCCCTGACCGATTGTTTTTTCAGGGGAACATTAAATTTCTCTCTCGATCACAGGAGATTCTCTGGACGAACCAACAGCGATAACTGAAGGCTATAATTCATATTTCAGCTTCTGCAAGACTCGTAGCGGATACTCAGGTAATAATTAATAAAAACTTTCCGGTGGTGTGTCAGAGAGAGAGAGAGAGAGAGAAAAAAACTCTTCCCCTTTTCCCCAACAGCCGCAGGAGATCTTTGACATCCACCCTGATTGTAATATGCTCCAACCCAGGTCAACAACAAGAACAAATTACATTTGTGTGGCGCCTTTCATATCGGGAGGACTTCCCAAGACACAGCATAGTCCTAATGCTCTCTCTCTGTCTCTCTCCTATCTCTCAGGAGTCGCCACTTTTTGCCAGGATAGTGCTACGCCCTTCGCTGTGGAAGAAGGTCTCTCGGGCATTCTCAGTCACTGGACTGGGGAGGTGGGCTGTTATGGCAAAATTCAGAAGGAATTCTCCGAGCAGGAACTCAGGATGCTGGACAGTGAGGGCCGAGCACTGATCACCCAGCACCGCATAATGTAAGCTCCTCAAATAATGATTGATATTATCAGTTATTGCTTCTATCAATAATACTAATCATCATCCATAATAATCAATATTAATTGTTGTTAATAATCAATTATAATCAATAATAATTGCTATCAATAATATTTATCATGAATCAATAACAATATCAATAACTAGTCACTAGTATAATCAGTACAAAATTACATTTGTAAAGTGCCTTTCTCGTCAGGAGGACGTCCCAAAGCGCTGGACAGTCAGGGATTAGGACCCGAACGGTGGGTGGGGGGAAGATCAGGGAGGGTAGAAGGCACGAACAAAAGAGGGTCTTGAGACGTGCCTTGAAGGAGGCAAATGAGGGAATGAGGCAAAGGGAATGTGGGGTTGGAGAGGCTGAAGGCCCAATAACCGAGGGTGGGGCAGGCTGGGCGGGGGACACAGCGCAGGACGGAGCCCGCTGAGCGGAGGGACCGGACTGGTTGGAGAGGGTAAGGTCATGGAGGGCCTTGAAGGCAAGGTTGAGAATTTTGAACTCGATTCCCTGTGGGATGGGGAGCCAGTGGAGTCGGGTGAGGGTGATGGGGCCACGGAGCCTGGTGCAGGATAGGACACGAGCTGCAGAGTTCTGGATGATCTGCAGCTTGTGGAGGAAAGAGTTGGGAAGGTCGACAAGCAGGGCGTTGAAATAGTTGAGCCTGGTTGTAATGAAGGCATGCATGAGATTTTGAATGCCTGAGAGGTGAAGCAGTTGGTGGAGTCTCTTATAAATAGTATTAATGCTAATTAATTCAACAGCAATGTCTCCACAAGCAGTCGTGGAGAGAGTGGTTTTATCTGTCGGCCAGGACACCTCGAAAGAGCTTTTAATGTCCATCCTGTATAGGGCATAGACAGGTAGTGAGCTTTAACATCTCAAAGCACCTCCGACAACGCGCACTGTGCCCCAGCGCTGTGCTGAAGCATCATTTTAAACAATCTCAGTCCTAACGTCACTGTCTGTTCCTCAGAAGCAGGGATGAGAAGGAGGCCGTGCTGAGTGTTATTAATGTGTATTGTCCCCGTGCCGACCCTGACAGAGACGATCGCAAGCTCTACAAACTGAGGTTCTGTCAGCTCCTGCAGGCAAGAGCCGAGGCCCTGCTCCAGGCTGGGGGGTGAGGACAAGCTCCCTGGTACTCTCGCTAACTGTCACTCCCTATCTCCAAGGGTGGTGGAAGCCAATTCGATAACAACTTTTAAGAGAGTAGATATTTGGGGAGGACAAGTTTGCAGGGGTATGGGGAGAGAGCGGGGGAGTGGGATTGATTTGGAAGCTCTTTTCAAAGAGCGGTACAGACACGATGGGTCGAATGGCCTTCTGTGCTGTATAATTCTATGATTTCATCTCTCTCTCTCACACTTTCGCTTACTCTTATCTTTTTGTGTCTGTCTGTCTCTCTTTCTGTGTCTCTGTTGTGCTCTCTCTCTCCCCCTCTGAATGTCTGTGTCCTGTTGTCAGGCACGTGGTGGTGCTGGGAGACATGAACACGTCACATCGACCCATAGACCAGAGTGACCCAATGCTGGTGAGTCCTGGGGGGAACGAGGGACTCTCTCTCACATTCTCTTTATCTCTCACTCGCTCTCACAGTCACTCTCTCTCACACACAGGAGGGATTTGACGACAATCCCTGCCGTCAGTGGTTGAGAGGATTCCTTGTGGGAGGAGTGGAGGTGGGAGGTGCAGCAAAAGGGAGTCTCTTTGTTGACGCTTTCCGCCATCTCCACCCAGGCCTCAGCGGGGCCTTCACGTGCTGGCGAAACTCCACGGCCGCCCGCAAAACCAACTTCGGCTCCCGCATCGATTATGTGCTGGTCAGCCAGGGCCTGGCAGAGGCCGGGCTGGTGGCCTGCGACCTGGAAGCAGAGATTCATGGTTCCGACCACTGCCCGGTGCGAGCAGTGCTGGCCTGTGGAGTCCTGGCCTCACCTCACCGCCCCGTGCTGTGTACCGCCCGCTGGCCGGAGTTCGCCGGCCGGCAACTCAGCCTCTCGCGCTTCCTGGTCCCCATACGGCAGACGACAGGTTCTGAGAGCCTTGGTCCGGTCAGGAAAAGGAGAGCGACTGCCCAGCCCAGCTTGCTGCCGTTCCTGAGGTCAATAGCAACCAGCGGTGAAAAGTACCTGGCAGGGACCAGCAAAGGCAGGGAGGGGGGAGGCCTGAGTGGAGGCTTGGTCTTACCCCAGGCCCAGGGCGAACCTCAGTCCCAAGAACAGCCCCAGGCGGCTATATGGAGGTTGTTGCTCCCTGGGCCCCCACGTGCCCCCCTGTGCCGGGGTCACCAGGAGCCATGTGTGCTCAGGACGGTGAAGAAAGCCGGGCCGCAGCGGGGGCGACAGTTTTACACATGTGGACGACCGCAGGGGGCAACCTCAGACCCCCGTTCTCAGTGCCGCACTTTCCTGTGGGTCAGCGGGAGGGTAAAGGGGGAAGGAGGTTCTGCGACGTAGCGTCACCAAGAGCCGAGGAGAGAGAATTGTAACCCATGTGCTTATTACAAGTACCCTCAGAAAACATGGGATATATGTGACCTTGTCAGTGTGACTCCGTGTGTGTATGTGTGAGACCCTGTGTGTGACTGCGTCCGTACCGAACATACAGGAAGGTTGAGACACTTTGTTGTATTTGCCAAGCTACTCCCCATTCCACTTGTATTTTGCACCATAAAAACCTTGTTTTTTTAATGTCTGCTGTATATTAATAAAGATACAAACCCTCAATACAGCGCCTTGCACCTTGGGAGGACATCTCCAAGCATTTCACAGGGTTTTGCTGTGAAGTGTAGTGACTGTGATTTGAAAGCAGCCAATTTTGAGCGCAGCAACATCTCCGCAAACAATTTTATCTGTTGGCTGGGACTCCGGGAAAGAAAAATTTCTCTCTTTTCCCACAGTGCTGTGGGAGATCATTAATGTCTGGCCTGAACAAGGCATGGATGCAGAGTGAGGTTTAACGACTCAGCAATGTGGCGCTCTCTCTCCCCAGCACTAAACTGGAGTGTGAACTCAAAGTGCCACGACCTGTGGGGTATCGAACCCACAACTCTTTGACTCTGAGGCGAAAGCATGAGCGACTAAGCCACAGGTCAACATGTTTAGGCCAGATCGAGGGGTTAATTGGGGAGATCTGAGTGACTAGTTTTTTTTTTAGCCTGGATTTTGTCAGGTAATCACTCTGAATTTTTGTAGTGATATTTAGGCTAATGTATTCCACCCTTGGCTGTGAGAGAGACCCAATTAATATGGAATTAGCTCAGTTATTCTCTTTGACCGAGCCTTCAGCTCCCCTCTCGACTCTCTTCCCCCTTCTCGCTCCCTCCCATCCCTCCCCTCACCCTGACCATTTCCCCCCTCCTCGCTCCCTCCCCTCACCCTGACCATTTCCCCCCTGCTCGGGTCATGACCCAACTGTGCAGCGCCTTGGGACGTCCTCCTGACGTGAAAGGCGCTTTATAAATGGAATCTTGTTGTTGTGTTATTAAAACAGTGTAGGCGGTCAGATAACCTGTCACTCAATCACTGTGAGGTCACAGCCTCAACCCTAACCCACACACACGGGTGTGTCAGTGTCACAATGAGGAGTATTCTGTTTCATAATACGGAATACACAATAATGCACTGCCCCCCCCAGGGGCAGAGAGACAGACATTTAGATCTTTCACTCAGCTTTTCCCATCATTATGAAGGTTAGACTCCAGCAGTTAACCCACCACACAGTCTGGGTCCAAAGCCTTGGCTCTTGCCAACCTGCCCTTAATACTCTATGGAGTTAAGTGAACAGAATGGATCCCTCCAGGGAAAGAGTGCGCATTCCATCCCAACAATCTCTCTGTAAATTTCCATGCATAGGTGGGATGCATGGAATTCTCATTTTGGTTTGGATACTCAGGCACTCAGCTGGCCAAAAATAAAGATTACATTTGTATAGCGCCTTTCACATTGGGAGGACGTCCCAAGGCGCTGGACAGAGTACAGCATTTTAGAACCGAGCTGGGGGGGGGGGGGAGGGAGCGGCCGATGGCATGGTCGAAGAGGAGGATCTTGAGGTGGGACTTGAAGGAGGCTAAGGAGGGGGCGAGGCAGAGTGACTGGGGGATGGAATGCCAGAGGTTGGGGGCAGAATGGCTGAAGGCTCTCCCGCCAATGGTGCGGCAGGTGGCTCGGGGGACGTGGAGCAGGCCAGAGCCTGCTAAGCAGGAGGGAAAAGACATGAAAAGCCCTATGTCAAATGCAAGGATTATTACAATTGATGGGCAAGCAATCCAACAATCGGCCAAATGGCCTCCTTCTGTGCTGTAATGTTCTATAATCTACTTGGTGAATTCTACTTCACAATGGTAGGAAGAGTTGACATTGAAGAATCAGTAAGCTTGCCTTTCTCTCTGTGCAGCTGCCTGCCTCCCAAAGAAGACATTCAAAACAAAATAGTTTCAATACAGCTTTAATAATTTCACATTTAAGTTTGTTTTAAACAAAGCACACAGCTATTTAAACAATTGTTCAAACAAGTTAAAGAAACAGGCTTTTGAGAAAACTTCCAACAAGTCGTAAATTTGCAATTAAAAAAAGATTAATGGTTTATCAAGTCTAATTGCATCTCAATACATCATGAACAAAGTTCTCCACTTTGTCCAGCCTTTGGTCATTGCTGCGGTATGGAATCTCTCTCCGAGAATAAGAAAATAGTTTCCACGCTCGCACTGGGTGGCCCTTCACGTCTGCCATTGAGCATACTGATCGACTATATCAATTTTCTCAGCAAACGGCATCTCCTCCAGCCCCCGCATCGTCTCATGCGGCATTCCTCAGGGTTCTGTCCTCGGTCCCCTCTTCTTCACCCTCTATATGTTCCCTCTTGGTGACATCATCCGCAGACATGGGGTAAATTTCACATGGATGCGGATGACACCCAACTCTATCTCTCTGCCTCCACCCTCAACTCCAGGACTACTGGCGTTCTGACCAACTGCCTGTCTGACATCAAGTCCTGGATGAGGGACAACTTTCTCCAGCTGAACGTCAGCAAGACCGAGGGTCTCCTGTTGGGCTCACGCCAGCGCCTCTGCACCTCAGGCACCAGCACCATCAGCATCCATGGCTGCACTCAACGTCACTAAACCAGTCAGGAACCTGGGTGTATGATTTGACCCTGAACTGTCCTTTCTCCCCCAAATCAGCACCATGACCGGCACTGCCTATCACCACATTGCCAGACTCCGCCACTGCCTCACCCCTCAGGCTGCTGAAACCCTCACTCACGCATTCATCACATCAAGGTTCGATTACGAAACTCCCTCCTCATCGGCCTTCCCAACTCTTCTCTTCACAGGCTGCAGATCATCCAAAACTCTGCAGCTCGTGTACTCTCGTGCACCAGGCTCCGTGACCCCATCACTCCCACCCTCATCTGACTCCACTGGCTCCCTATCCCTCAGAGGATCAAATTCAAGATCCTCGTCCTCACTTTCAAGGCCATCTATGGCCTTACCCCCTCCAACCTCTCTGAACTGCTGACTCCCTACCAACCTGCCCCCTCTATTCAACAGGCAGCCTTCTCCATGTCTCCCGCCTGAGCTGCCCTACCATCAGTGGCCGAGCTTCCAGCCTCTCTGCCCCCACACTCTGGAACTCTATCCCATGAGCCCTTCGCATCGCTTCCTCCCTTGCCTCCTTCAAAGCTGGTCTCAAGACCCTCCTCTTCGATCAAGTCTTCAGTCGTTCTCCCACCTCTCTTGCCTTCTCTCACCCTTCCCCCACGCTCAGATCCTGACCCCTGCGCTTTGGGACATCCTCCCGACGTAAAAGGCGCTCTATAAATGTAATTTTGTTGTTGACCAGGCTTCTGCTCTCACCTCTTTCTTCACAGAACTTAAACATCAACAGATTTCAACACTTCTTTCAATGTCCACCTCAAGATCTTTCCCCTTCACACCCAGCTCAGGTCCAAGCAAAGACACCTCAAGAGCTTTGGGATGTCTTCCCACCGTGAAAGGTGCAATATAAATGTCAATTATAATAATCCTTGCATTTGATAGACTTTTTTTAAACATAAGAATTATTACCCCAAGAAAGCATGCACAAATTGACTAATGAGTTCCTACCAAGTGCAAGGTAAACAGAGGCATGAGGAGTAAGGAAATTTGCCTAAGGTTTCACCCGTCTGGGAATCGAACCCAGATTCTCTCACTCGCGCGACAACTTCTAACTAATACGCAACAAGATCCCATGAGATTACCCACCATTCCACTCCAGTTTTGCCCTGACTGGCAACCTAGACCGAGCTCAAGTGCTAATGTGGAGTTTGAAACCTAAACACTAATTTATTTTTATGAGCTATCTGTTTATTTTGAGTTTAATATTCATCATCCATCCGTTTATCTACAGTTTAAGGTTTATTGCCTATCTGCTTAGCTAGTTTGTCGTTTATCAGCTATCCGTTTATCTTGAGATGAAAGTTTATCGATTATCTATTTATCAAGATCTGAACGTTTATCGTCTACGCGTTTATCTGGAGTAATATTTATTGAGGTTATCAAGCAATTTAGTTTACAGTAAAACCTGCCTCCGTTTATCAGCATTCTCACCCTGAGAAATAAGGTTCAGGATTCGATCTCCCTGTCAGCACTTGAGCTCAGTCTAGATTGATGACCAAGGGGAGAATTGGGCAAGGTGTGAGGAAGAGGGAGAAGCATCACATGCACTGAAGCAATTTGATTACAGCAAGTGAGAGGACCCAGGTATGATTCCCGGGGAACAAAATCTTAAGCAAGTTTGAAACTCCACACGCCTCTGTTTATCAAGGAGGAAGTAGGAATCTTTCCCTTCCCTGCTCCAGCTCGGGTGCGAAACAAGGACACCTCAAGCACATAAGACGTCCTCCCGACGTAAAAGGCACAATATAAATATAAGTTTTTATAATATTGTACCCCACTTCTACAACATTGCCCCCATTCTCAAGAAATCCATCCCGGAGTCCTTCCTACTCACCCATCCATCACCACTTTCAAGATCTGTCTCAATCCCTTCCATTGACTGTGCCTTCAGTCATATTTCCCCTTCCTGCTCTCAACTTGGGTGCCAAACAAGGACACCTCAAGCACCTTGGGACGTCCTCCCGACGTGAAAAGTGCTACATAAATGTAAATTTGTATTGTCTACTATTGCTCCAATGATCACCCACATTCTCTGAAACTCCATCCCGGAGCCCCTCCAAATTACCTCCCCACCCTCCCTCACTTCAGTCAAGATCCTCTCCAACCATGCCGTTCCCCTCCTCAGGTGCCAAACAAGGACATCTCAAGCCCATAAGACGTCCTCCCGACGTAAAAGGCACAAAATAAAAATAAGTTTGTACCCCACCTCTTCAAGATTGCCCCCATTCTCTGGAACTCCATCCCAGAGTCCTTCCCACTCACCCATCCATCACCACTTTCAAGATCTGTCTCAATCCATTCCATTGACTGTGGCTTCAGTCATATTTCCCCTTCCTGCCCTCAACTTGTGTGCCAAACAAGGACACCTTCAGCCCATAAGACGTCCTCCCGACGTAAAAGGCACAATATAAATATAAGTTTGTATATTATTGTACCCCACCTCTACAAGACTGCACCCATTCTCGAGAACTCCATCCCAGAGTCCTTCCTACTCACCCATCCATCACCAATTTCAAGATCTGTCTCAATCCCTTCCATTGACTGTGCCTTCAGTCATATTTCCCCTTC